TGTGTGTGTGTGTGTGTGTGTGTGTGTGTGTGTGTGTGTGTGTGTGTTGCTGTGTGAGTGGGATGTGCCTGCTTCCACCGAGAATTTTTCCAGGAGGTAGTTTTCTCCTTCCAGTGAGGGTTCAGGCTTGTAAGCAAACATTCTGTTTGTACCTGTTTGTTTCTCACTGGGCCATCTCACCAGCTCAGGATTTCAGTTTTTGTTTTTGTTTTTTGTTTTTTGTTTTGTAATACAGAACACTTGTCTACAAAACAAGACAGATGTTAAAAATTCTGTGAATATTGTGTGCAATTAAGTGGGTTCACAAGTTGACTCTCCAGACTTTGATGGTGTATAGTGTACAAAATAAACATCGTAGGCCCACAAATCGTGTGTGCTGACAAGGGCACACCGGAGCACGCATGCAGAATGTGCTCAATAAAGCAGTCTGCAAGCACTCCATGCATGTTGGCTTTACGGATTCTAACTGGTTTTCTCAAGACAATCTTTCACACATCTGGCTGGTTGATTTTGCTCACAACTGTTTTACCCTATGTATTATGTATGTAACTAACGTTCCTCTTTTGGCCATTTTTGTGTTTAGTCTAGCCATTCGGTAAGTCATTATGAGTAACATGTGCTATTATCTTTATTACACACTGCCTGAGTCCATCACAGAAAAGCAACCTGAAAGAACTGCTGCTCCGTTTTCACTTTGTTTCCCTTACAATGGACAAAGTTCCAGGATAAATAAACCAGGACAAACATAACAAGGTATTTTCCAGTAGTCCTATTTATCGTGCTTGTTGGCAAGCATTTTCACAAAAATAATCTGAACCAGAGCTACTGAGTGCCTACAGTCACTATAAAAATACCAAAACCATTTTATTAGGAACCCTATTTTATCGTTCATACAGACTCAGCCCAGGACCTTGATAAATACACTCCTACTCACAGGTACTTACTCATGAACACGCAGACTGCCTTGGCACTTAAAAGCAAGTCGTGCCAGCTACAGAAGTGAATTTTGTAAGGCCCCTATTGTGGTGGAGCTGTCCCCCATCAACGGAGCGCTCATCACAACTCATGTCCTACAGCTGCTGGCCTCATCCATGAGAAGTCCCTACGGAAAACACTAAAGAACACTAAAACACTAAACACTAAAGAATCTGGTGCCTCCTAGCCATACTGTACAACTTGTTTCGATTACTTTATCTAATCTTTTGTACCATGAAGACACAAGACAGCGTTAACCTAACAGATTTAAATTTCTGGTAACTTTCACCCACTGAGTGTTCAAGGAAGAAATGCCCTGTTCTCTAAATACAGTTCTAAGTAGACTGAACAAAACAGCTAGTAAGAAGTCTAGAATGTTCCGGAGCCTCCCTGTAACAACAAAACGTCGGAAAAGAAGGTAGCGTGGCCGTCCTTTGAATATCTAGCTGAAACATTTAAATTGAGTTTAAGTGGCATGTTCAAATGTATTCTTTGTAAATAGTTGGACTGTATTATAAAATCGATAGATAAGTAGGTAAGGAATTTGAGTATTTAACCACTCACACATCACAAATGGTCAAGTTTTCAATTTTTCCCTTTTCTTTTCCCAGCTGACTTTGGGGAGAGATATTGTCTTGACAGAGGCAGCCTATTGCAGTGGTAGAATGCTAAATAATTCCCTGAGAGATTCAGAAAACCTGAAATCACATGAAGAACGTTTGTGTAATCAAATTAGAAACCCTGAAGGAACTATTTAGAGACCAAATGATGTTCTGATAGGTTAGTCCTCCGCCTTTAGTTAAACTGATTCGTTAGTGGGATTAAAACTCCTGTGAGACACTCTGCTATTAGGAAATGAGAAGAGCGAACAACACACGGTTACAATGGGACATAGACGCGTCACAGAAAAGCAAGATGGATGGAATGCAAAAGCAGCAATTTGAAACAACAAAATAATCCTCATAGTAAACTGGCCTTGTCATAGTCTAAGCACAATTCATCACTACATGCTTAGAGCTAAACTTAATTTTCTAATATATAAGTAGATACAAACCATTAGAAAGCATATAACTGTAATTATAAGCTAATTTAAATAGTTTTTCATGCATTCATATACTTATGAGACTATTGTACATACTGCAATTACAAATCAAATGTCCCGAAAAAGAAAAAAATGTTCAGTTTTATAATACTACCTTTTTTTCTTCTTCTTCTCTTTCCGTTTTAGCTTCTCTAAATCTTTCTTTGCTAGATCTATGATTTCGATGGTTTCTTTGTCTGAAGACAGTACAGTAGGAGAGAAAGCTGTTGACCCACTGAAATACGGCGACCTCGCTGTTGCTCTGGTCAAGTTTTTTCGAAGATTCTCATTCACTGCTTCACTTTCTAATAATTTTGCCCTAGTGAACAAAAATATTTTTAAGTAGAAACATTTTTATTACAGCAAAGCATTTTAAACAATTATTATGCTGGCCTCTCTAGGCTCTGTAGTATTGAGCTCCAGGATACTGCTATGCAACCATCACCACCATGTACACTGGAAACACATTCGTTTTGGCTAATACATTATGCTTTCTCTATTTACAGTGTAGCACAATGTTCCAAAATGAAAGCTGAAAGCATAAGAAAGTGTAATATGCCACCTACCACCTATGAACAATAGATATTTTAGACTCTATTATGTAACAAACAGCAGCTGATCTAGTGTTCTCCTTACTTCCAAGGCTTACATTTAGTAGGGTCTGAAACCTTGAAGGCTCACGTACACAAACTCCAGCCACAAGAGCAAAGGCTGCGTTTTTTATAGGCTAGAGGAAGAATGTGCCTTTACCCCTCACTTTCCACTCCCTGTCCTCCAGTGCACACACACTTGGTGCTGCTGGAGTTTTACTGACTAGACAGATGGCAGTGTGACACAAGAGAAAAGGTCCTAGACTTTCCAGAGAAGGAACAGAATCAGGGCTTGGTTTTCATCGGACACTTACTAGATCTGACCTCTCAGTCTCTAAAAGCACCTACTCTTCCCTGTGTAAAACAGGGATTAAAATATTTTCTATAGGATTGCTATGAAAATCAAATATGGAATGAATTTAAAACCTGCCAAACTACAACTATACCAAAAAATAGTAATTCTTATAAAAATTAGAAATATCATTATCCAACAGTAGTAAATGAAATTAATTATGAACACCAAATAGTGCTATTGAATCCCAGGGATGGGGGGAGGAAATCATCAGAAAAATGTTGTAACATTAAATCAATGTTCATGGTGCAGCTGTATTTCAAAGAACAGCTGGATGACAGACACACTGTTAGGACAATGTAGCACTGAAAATAACTGAAGAGATAAACAAAATGTTAACTTCAGTTCTCAGCTCTGGAAAAAGGCAGAAATGTAATGACTTCAGTGTTCTCTTTCTGTATTTTCTTACTCCTACAAAAGTTTTAACCTCCCCACATTCAAGGACTAACTGATGACTGCTTCAAAAGTCATACCTGTGATTTCATAATGTGAAAGTATCCAAGTTGCCATACATAGAGATAAATTTCACTCAGTTTAGGGAGTTGGGAATAAATCTTCAAGCGAGTAAATTTTGACAGAAATATGGATTAAAGAGGGATTAGTAGGTAAGAACAGAACCTGAAGGGTGGGTTAAGTGACACATTAGACCTGTACAGCAGCCTTCAGCTTAAGAACCCTCACATTCTATTGTTTCACCCAAGCCCATGATAACTTCGTGAGGCTTACAAGTATTATCAGTGCTTCTAGACCAAGAAACTTAGAGATGTCAGGTAAGTAAAGATGTCACGTAGCACCTTATTAATACAGAGGAACTTCAGTGTCAATCCTGCCCCCCCCCATTTGAATTAAGAGTTCACTATGGTAACTCAATATGTCAATTATTTCCACATGGTACATTATAAACCTGGGACTCTAGAAGAATACTCCTCAGGGCTGGGACACACCTAATTAAAGAGCTACCAAAGTGATATCAAAGTTGGGAATATGAAACTAAGTATTCACCCATACAAGGAAAGGGCTTGACAACTGACTGAACTTGCTCTATAAGTCATCTCCATCCTGTAAATGCCTCAAGGAAAATCCTTAACACTATGAACATGAAGGTATTACATGCTGCTTTTAGTCATTAGGAGTGGAAATTATCCTGGCAGTATCCTAGGAGATAACCATGCAGCCACACCATTTGGCCAATGGTGAGACCAAGGTTTACATGCAGCTTTAGAATAACAGCATCAGGGAGAGGAAACAGACCACGAGAACCAGAAAACACAACCAGCACTGGCCAGAAACTGGGAAGTAAAGGAGGTAAGAGCAGCTGCCCACAACTGGAAGACAACTTTCAGAAACTAAGACATCAGCAGTTTCTCCAGGCACAGTAAAGAAGAGGGCTACAAAGTGAGGAAAGATTGGTCTGAGAATAAATTCTAGATGGCCAAGGGGACAGCACTACTGGTCAGGGTAGAACTGACAGTTTAGGCTGGGTGCTGTGCAGAACCAGGACACAATATGCAAGGAGCTATGTCAAACGTTCTCTCTCTCTCTCTCTCTCTCACACACACACACACACCACATTAAAGTTATAATAAAGTAAACACATTTATTGCCACACTAGAGTATCTTACTTGTCTTTGATTTTTGAAGCAGTAAAGAGATGAAAAGAATTCTGTGAAGGCAGAAAGTGCAGGAAGTACTTGCCACTGTGAATGGCTAGAATATCCAGGGACAAAAGTGTAGAAATAACAAAAGTTCAAGACAGAGAAATATGAGGGGAGTTATGAAGAGGACCTCCTCCCACTCGGTTATTATCTGGAGAAATTTCCCCATGGAGCTAACTGGGGCTTTACTCCATGAGAAAGTAACTAAGCATCAGAGCAAACTATAGAAACTAAAAATCTCCCACGAGTACTTAATGTCCCTGTCCCTGCTTTCACTCCTATTCCCCTAAACGCTTTCTTCCAGAGACTTCTCCACATCCATATCCCATGGCTAGACTTTGTTTTATTTTACTAAGTTACGGCATTTCTAATTCCTCCGTGTGTCTAGTTATAATGTTCTACTAGCCTGCAGCCTCTTTATGTCATGGTTGTCTCCAACCCAGGGCGTCCATGCGAAAATGTGAGCATTTGCAGAATGTCTAATGAAATGTAAATGGATGTACAAGAGAAGGCAGGAATGCAGTGAATTGCATAACACCTAAAGAAGTAGAAGAGAGGAATAGAAAAGCCAAAAAGTTAAAGACAATTCATAGACTCTGATCTATTTCCGAGTGATAGGAAAAAACCCACAGGCATGAAAGACAAAAAGGACAGCCTCACCAGTTATCATGTGTGCGTGTCCTACACTCTGTGTTTCGTGATGCCTGATGTTATTGGTCTAACAATAACAGTAAGAGGATAATAAGGGACAGTAACATGGGAAGAGAGACAGGGAAAATTAACTTCGAAATATGACACTACAGGAGAGCCTGCTATCTCGTCCTCTGAAGTAAACACGACCACAGGACAGAAATATCATGAATAGCTCCTGAACAATCATCCCAGCACACAGAAATATTATAAACAGCGCAAAAGCTGACATGCATTATAGTTATAGAAAACTGTACCTGAGATCTTCAATTTCTTTGATATAACTATGAATCATATTACTAATCTCTTCATTCCCTTCACCTGCAAGATAAAATATGAAATGAAATTTTTATTTTAAAACGAAGACTCTGTTATTGGAAGCATAGGTCAATGGCATAGTTCTTGTCTGGCAAGCATGAGTCCCCAGCTTTGAAAGTTAGTACCAAAATGAAACAAAATTCCTACAACAGATTTCCTACCCTGAATTACCATGAACAAACCATGAAAGAAAATGTTACAAAGGGCACATTTTATTTATATAGGAATTTATTCATTTTTAAAAAGTAGGTATTTAACTTAAAATTACAGGTTATATATAAAAGCTTGACACTTCAACATTAACCATGTTAAGTAAATAATCTACACAGAGAATGTTTCATACCCTTCAGAAGTCAAGCTCTTGTCTACCCCGCCCGACACATACCTGCTCTGACAAGAACTTGGTTGGCCTGATCGCTGACAAGCTGTGTGATCCTGGCCCTCAGCGCATCAACAGTCTCCTGCATGGCTTTTATTCTGACGCGCAGATTAGTATTTTCAGTCTGCAGCATAGCATTCTCATGAAACATATCATTGATGCTTTCCACGCCATCCTCATCAATTATCCTTTTACCCTTGAAGAAAAGCATTCCCTTGTTGGTTGAGGCCTTAAGTACGCAAGGGTTTTCTTTAAAGGCACCCCAAGATCACACAGGTCTACACCAACAGCCTTTTTATCTTCCCAGCCCCAAGGCAAAAAAATCAATTTCCTTCTGCTACCATCTTTCATGGTGCATTAGCTGGTAGAATTATAGATTGGGTAAGACGCCTTTGGAAGGCGTCTACACGATCTGACACCTCAAAGACTACCTCCAAAGAGAAGTCTATGCAGCCACTCCTAAAAGGCACAGTTATATTCACAGCCCCAGAGCCTTCCACAGGTCAGAGAACGCGGCCCATGCTTTCAGCTTACTGTTTTGTACTCCATGAGCTCCATCTGAAGGCGCGTGATCTCGCTGCGGAGGGCGTTGATCTGCTGACTAGCTCTGTCTTGATTGACCATCACCTTGTTCTTGATATTTCTAGCTCGATTAGCATATTTCAGAGTGTTTAACGTCTCCATAAAATCTCTGTCTGAAGGGCTGACACATGCTATCATGATTGTTTGGCTGAAAGTTACAAATAATAATTAGTTGTACAAGCAAAATCAAATAGTGAGATACACATTTTAAAGTTCCTGCCATTTAAAAAGCATCTTCCCTTGAAGATTAAAAAAAAAAAAAAAAGATGTAACTAACTTACAAATAAAGTCAAATTTAAAAGTCTCCATGATTTTTGTTTGTTTGTTTTGTTTTTGAGACTGGGTTTCTCTGTTTCAGCTCTGGCTGTACTGGAACTCACTCTATACACCAGGCTGGCCTCGAACTTACAGAGATCTGCCTGCCTCTGCCTCCCAAATGCTGGGATTAAAGGTGAGTGCCGCCACCGCCGGGCAAGTCCCCATGCTTTAAGACCATTTTAACAAGAGGATGTTGTTTACTTAGGCAACACAGGAAAGATAGGATACATATTGTGCTCTTTGATGCACAATACCTTGAAAATGTATGAGCTTATGTCTGTTTCTCACATCCATGCAAGCTTTCTGAGGTAGTACACACAATATTTCCATAATTACTCTAGCCACAAATATGTCGAGTTTAGAAAATAATTTCATTAAGTTATTTTATTATTAAAGAAGAAAAATTCTCGCAGGGCTGGAGAGATGGCTCAGCAGCTAAGAATCCTGGCGGCTGTTGTGGAGGACTAGGATTCGATTCTCAGCAACCACATGTCAGCTCACAATCCTCCAGAGTCCAGTGCCCCTGGATCCAACACCATTTTCTGGCCTCCCAGGGCACTGCACACATATGGTATGAGAGGCATTCGTGTAGGCACTCACACATACACATAGAAAATAAATTTAAACTTTTAAAAATTGTTTAAGACAGTTCTTCCTTTTCACTGATGCTTTGACTTGATTCAGCTATGAATTTTATAGAAAATGTGATCCTATTCAAACAAAAGAAGCGTAGAGTACATCCTCACTTTTCACAGTATAAAAACATGATTGAGGTTGAATAATCAAAGTTTATTATTTTGACTTCTGGCCAGATTACACAGGAAAACAGTGGAAAACACAAGTCACGGCAAACTGCCTCATCAAAACAGAATAGTCAAATGCTTATATACTCCAGCTATTCCGTCTGTCAATGGATTACACGAAGGTCCTCCTGGACACTCGCAATCCAATTTAACACGATATGTGAGCAGTGGAGTGCTGGCATCCTGGTCTGCCTCCTGGTTAAATGCTAAGCAAACAGCATTCCTCTGCCTCAGGCTCCGACTGCCACAACGATTTGCCTCATCACCTAACGTTGAGCAAACATGAGCTGAAACATTTGAAACGGCTCAAGCTTCTCGGCTCTGCAGAAGCCTCACAGCTTACTGTATCCTCCTAAGATGCCACTATTTATAGGGAAGCATGCTGGAGACCTGAGGCCAGACAATATGTATGCATTGATGTGTGCTTTGATGTCACCGTTTCTTAGCATTGATCCCATGGCCATCTATTGTTGTATAAATGGATATGGCGCAGTTGGTAAAGTGCTTGCCACACAAGCATAAGGGACTAAATCTGGATCCCCAGCAGATACTTCAATGAGTCTGCAGCCTCAGTACTTGGGAGGTAGACAGGAAGGATCCCTAGGGCTTTCTGGCCAGCCCACCTAGCTAATCAGTGAGCTCCTAATTTAGCAAGAAACCCTACCTCAAAGACTGATGTGGCAAGCAACTGAGGGAACCGCCCACACCAATGTCTGCCTTCTACATGGACGCACCTACATCAGGAAAGTGTGAACACGGTAACGCATTAAACCTGCATTTAATGACCAAATTGGCCTACCCTGGTAGAAAATTTATGGCAAATAATCCTGATCAGTGGTTCCTTGACTGCTTCCTTCCTCCAACAGGGTCATAGTGGCCCTTTCCATAAGAACACTATCAGTTGTTGAGGAAGCTGACGCTGATGCAGGAGGATTGCAAGTTGATAACAACCTCTGCAATACAGTGAGACCTTATCTCAAAAATACAGCAAACTAAAAGGTTTTATTCTATATCTTTCTCCCTTTACTTTCATATCATTTATTTACTTGTTTGTTTGTTTCTTTGTTTGTTTACATTTTTTGGAGGCAGGGTCTCCCTGTATGTCCTTGGATGACCTGGAACTCAGTATGTAGCTGCCTCGAACTCATAGAGATCCATCTGCTTCTGCATCCAGAGTGCTTGGATTAAAGGAATGTGCTACCATGCAGGGCTCTTTAACCAACTCTTACTTTTTCCTATCTCTGTTCTTACTACTTCTTAGCATTCTATCATCTCACCCTTCATTTAGCTGTATTTTCCTCTGCCTTCTGCACCATTTGCTCATTTTCTTTTTATTCAGAACATTACTCCTGTTATTATTATTATTATTACATAAAAGTTTTACATACTCCAGACCCTAAAGGCCTGAAGAAGAAGGCCAGAAACAGAGTTTTGTTTATTTTTCGATGTACTTCCAAATATGTAATACAGTACTTTGTTGCTTTTTAATATTAATAATTCTATTGCACTATATACATACTGCATAACTAACATGACTGACACATGATGTTTTGGAGATATTATTAGATTGAGAAAATCCATGCCTCTCTAACTATGTCCTGATAACAAAGATACAGAAGTCAATTAAAAGTAAGAAGTGATGGAATGCTGAGTAGAGAACAGGACATTGTGAAATGTAATCTCGAGCTCAGCAGCCTTCTGCAAAGAACTTATTCCAATCCATGGTAAGAACAGAGACTGAGAGTGAGCACATTACAGCCCTTTGTAGCATCTGACCTTCCTGTAATCAATGAACTCATCTCACTGATGACAGTTTAGACTAGTCCAAACTCACACAGTGAATCACAAATAGGGAAAACAAATAGGACAGTCATGGACAGTATTAGCCAACAGAGTATTGAAAGGCAGGGAGGCTTACTCTTCACAAATATTTTGAAAAGCACTGAGATCATGGACATATTAAAAACTACAAAAGTCAGGAATGAGAGGGGCTGGCTATAATTGATAGAGGAAAGAAAATATCACATATTAAACAAAATTCGAAAGTCCATTTCTCAAGAATTAGTTTGCCAATTGCTCTAAGAAAACATCAAAAATGTTTACTTCTTATAATTCTATTTTAAAGAAAGCATCTTTAACTTAGAAGAAACTATTAATAATACAGTGATCAATTTCTTCCAATGTGCCATATAGCATAGCATTAACAATGTACACAGCACATATATTATACTTTAGAAATATAATAGTTTTTACTCATGCTTTATATTTTCTACTATTTCCAGAATTTTTGACATAAAATTTTAAGTTCCATTATATAGTATTAAAATAAGACGTTATAAACATATAAAAGCTAGTTTATTAAAAACTGCAACTTTACGTGAAACTTAAAGTTTATCTAATTCTTTTATCTTTCTTTGATTTGCATAAGCTACAAAAACGGGGTTAGTGGGAGCTATTTTACTTCCCAAAATTTAAGCAAAGTACAATGCTTTTGAATTGTGCCCTCGATTCTGAAAGCTTAGGCAGAAACTGGGGTGCGCTAAGGCTGGTGTCAGCCAGAGTCACGTCCTCTAAGGGTTACCTGTCATTAGGAACCAGGTGAGGAACCATTGACTGAGCCACAACAGACAGGCAAGCTGCACAGCTTGCAGAACAAGCAACCTTTCAAGTGGGTGAAGTACTCAAACTATGTCAGTGTGTAAGGGGAGGCATGCATCTGGTTTGCTTTGTGCCATAGTTAGAGAAATACAGGGCTGGGTGTGGTGACACACACTGTATATCCCAGCACTCAGGAGGCAGGGGCAAGTAGATCTTTGTGAGTTCAAGGCCAGTCTTGTCTACATAGGAAGTTCCAGAACAGCTAGGGCTATACAGATAGATACTGACACACACACACACACACACACACACACACACACATAATCACACACACACAAACACACACACACACACACAATTAGGAAAGTACAAAAAAACTTTTTACTTTGTTATGAAACCTAGCTTGATCCTGAAATACAGACTGAAAGTACTAACAACAAGTTAATAGGCAACAATGAAAGCCATATTGCATTCTCACATAGGACAAACTTAACGGGAGAGAAGATCATGCCAATATTATAGAAAAGGAAGAAATATTTTCAAATGCTGCTGAATTTAACAAAGCTTATTTCTAAGCCAAACTTATTTTAAACCTGAATTCAAAATTATTCAAAATTCTTTTTTAAAAAGTAGCTGTTTAAAAAGAGAATTAATTCCCAGACTGTGTATTGTATAGCATCTCACAATTTTTCAATAAACGTGATTTTTAGACCTCTATAAGAAAATTTGCTGAGCTCGTTTAACTTGTTGAGTTATGCTATGAATGATTTCAAATGCCAGGAAAAAAAAAAAAAAAAGATTTTCATTTATATAGTCAGTGAAGTAGAAAAAACAGATTACACGCAGAAGGAAATGTTCACCTATGAAGCCAGACCAGCAGTGCAGAAGTTCAGAGGGAAAGCCCAAAGTGAGAAAAAGTCCATAGAACACAGCAGTTAATCGGCAAACACCCTGTGTGTCACTCAATGACATTTTTTGAAAGCTTTTTCCACATACAAAGAGTCTGATTTTAGACTTTGTAGAAACTGTCAATAATATTTACACTACTTTGTAGTTCTTAGGTTTCCTTTCTTTTTCAACAGAATTCTTCTTGGCCTCTCCTGTGTGCTAATCAGGAGCCACACTAGTGTAGAACAAGCATGTATTACAGATTTTCTTTAAAAGTCCTGTGATTTTGAATAAATTGTTTAACCTCCCCAAACTTTAACTCATTATTTATAAAACAGAAATACTAGCACTACCCCAAAGACTGTGATAAATACTACTTGACATAATTGTATATATAATGACTGACACCTTTTAGGTTCCTAATATAAATTATCACCTTTTAGTCCTATTGATTTGTTTTAAAATAAAAAGCAGTTTTTATAAATCAACTTACAGGTATACTTAAAAATATAATGTACACCTCCCCCGAGAGGGGAACAGCCTTGCCAGGCTACAGAGGAGACAATGCAGCCAGTCCTGATGAGACCTAATAGGCTAGGGTCAGATGGAAGGGGAGGAGGACCTCCCCTATCAGCAGACTTAGAGAGGGGCATAGGAGGAGATGAGAGAGAGAGGGTGGGATTGGGAGGGTATGAGGGAGGGGGCTACAGTTGAGATACAAAGTGAACAAACTGTAATTAATATAAAAAATAAAATTTAATAAAAAATAAGTTATAATAAAAAATAATAATGCATATTCAAAACCCAGAATAATTGTAAATTATTATTACCTGTTACCCCCAAGGGAATCCTGCAGGAGTCTTGTCAGCTTGGAATCTCTATAGGGGACGTGGGTGGCTCTCTTGCTCTTATCACCCAAGGCACTGATTACATTTCCAAGAGCCAACTAACAGGGAAAAGGAAAATTGCATGTTTATTAATTGCATCACTTTTAAATAATAAGGATAGCCTATAGGAAATAAAATGAAAACAACAAAATTAAGAAACTGTGTTTGGATATAATTCACATTTGTATTTTCAAAAGCATGTAAGCTTAGTAATATATGTGTCACTCATAACACTTAAAATCCAGAGATTTTCCTTAGAAACAGCAATGTCAAACGACTGACAAAGTCTGACCATGCCTGGAGCTCAGGTTACATCTTCACAAAATTACTAATTCATATTATACATTTTATCAGCTCAGAAAAAAATCAAATGTTTAGTCAGTTCCCAACTCCTTGAAAGTTTCTTGTTACAATATAGATGTTTTAGGTAGATAAAACTCCCGATAGCCACAAGTAAAATAGTAGTCATTTCCCTGAGCAAGGAATCCCTACACAAGTAAAAACTGACCTGAGGTATAATGAAATTATGTGTATTTAATTTCCAACTTTTAAAAAGCTAAGCTGTTACAAATTCTATAGCTGTACTCACTCTCTGGCACCGCTACTGTTTTTCCTGCTATGGATGGGTTAGTGTCTACAAGGAACACATTGTCCACAGTAGTCACACCAGCTTTCAGTAAACACGGATTGTCAGGACCGAGCCATTATCCAGCCAGTGGCATGACAGTCATACTGTGTGTTGGCCTCTTTTTCCAGAAGGTGCGGATTTAAGTACTGGCCACATCAAAGTGGCCTCAAACAACTTCAGGAAATAGAGCAATGGATTGTGTCCATCTCTGAACTCACGTCCTAATACATCCAAACAATATTCAGAGCGTAGGATCCAAACAATATTCAAAGTGTAGGATTCAGGCCTGACTGCTGAAACATGAGGTGAGACAATCAAGGTGGGCCTTGATATTGGGAGCTTAGGGTCTATCAAATAAGCTTCTTTGAACAATTCCTAACCAAAATGTAATCATACAGGGACATTTGGGCACTGATTATAAACAAAAAACTAAAAGGTGTGTTTAAAGGTCCACCTACAGGACAGGAAGGATACAAGCAGACACCACAGAGCTTCACCAGTGCTGTCACTTACAAGGGAAGTGATGTCTAATTTTATAGTGAGATAAACAAGAAGAAAAGTTTTGGTATACAAAAGCTTGCTCTAAAACTTATGCTAACTCAACTACAAGGCACTTTCCAATAAGAGTACCACTGGGTGGCATAGTATTAAAGTTAATTCCTGACACAAGCTTTTTTTTGTTGTTGTTTTAATCATTGCTAAAAAGCTTTTGAATAATCCACAGTCAATAAAAGGACTGTCTCAAAATGTCAGCAAAGACTACCTTTATATCTTGTCCAATGAAATACTTGACTTTAAGGGTTTGTTTTGAATGCATGTTTTCAAATGCGGAAAGAAGTTTAGAAGTATTTTTCCCATTTATAACCCTTTGCACATCCTATAAAACTTGAGCAAGCCAAATTCACATAGTGGAAAAGCCTGTGGCGTGGGGTTGGGGGACGTATACAGTGTGGCCAGAGGCTCAATGACTTGCTGTTTACCTCATCCCTCTCATCAGTGATGAAAGGTTTCCATGAGATATATTATGAATTATAGCAGAGAAAGGAAAGCTGGGCCTGCTAACTAACTAACGCCTGTAACTCCAGGGTGGCAAAGGCTGAGGCAGGAGAATTGTTGTGAGGCAAGCCTGCACTGCAGAGCGAGCACCAACAGAGAAAGCACAGCAGAAAGACCCTGTGTCTCTGCGGGAAGTGTAGCCTTACAAGTCCACAGTTGATGGAAATGCCCTCTTTTGCCCTCTCGCCAGTAGCTCCAGTTCTTTTCAATCTTTCTGATCCTGCCAGATCAACAAAATGAAACTTTGCAGTCAGGGTTTCAAATTCATTCATCTGCGACGATTCGGAGATCATCTTATTATCAGTTGCATTCTCCTGTGGTTACGGAAGAGAATTGAAAATGCCTTGTTACTGTGCCGTCAAGCACCCTGTAACCTTGCCCGCATCTCACTCCCTAACACAGCCAGAGAAATAGTCATGCAGCCACACAAACATAAATGACAGCCTTCACAGCAAAGAGTTCAGGGGACAACAGCTTCACTTGGTTGTAACAAACAGATACTGTTCGTTATGTTTATTTCCCAGAGTATTATTCAACTGCCCAGCTTTGGTTTAATAAATGAGAAAAACAAATTGAGAGACAGAAAAATAAAATAAAATAAATTTGGATCAGATGCCTCTCTTGAGATCCGTGCAGTTTAAGGATCTAGAGGCAAAAAGCTTAAGAAACAAGAAAACTGAACTCACGGCATCTGTTTGGGGGCACACTCTGGTTTGACACACGTGGATGGTAAAAATAGCGTGTGAGCGAGAGCTCTGCACGTTCATCTGGGTGCTGGCGGTGGTGCGTGACAGAGCGCCCAACTTCAAACACTGCATCATCTGTGAAGGGGAAGAAAGGCTTGACTAGACAGCATTCAAGCGGGCACCACCCAACCTCTGCCCGCCTGAGCTGACGGCCAAAACCTACTGTGGTAAGGGATCTAAAGGAAGATTTCTCATCCTATCTTTTTTGTTGCAAGCACATTGGAGCTGGACATCTCAGTAGTATAATGGTGCATTCTTTTGTTACCAGGAGAGAAACACTAAGCCTCATTGTGGCCTCTGCTGACATTTGCAGCTTCCATTCTAAACTGTTACAGTAGAATGCTCCAGGACAAACTCCACAATGATCTGAATAAGTCAGGCTACTCTACAGCTCGTTTAAGTTTTTTCTTTTTATTTTTTTAAGAGGTTTTTTTTTTTTTTCTTTTCCCTGTACAAGCCAAGACACAATCCTAAATGGCACAAGCAAAGGAGAAATAGACTTCCATCTCACACATCAGCACTGTTTAGCTCTCTTTAGTTCTCCTCATGCTTCAGCAGGCTCTCTGGGCGGCCTGATACATGTTATGCTGGGGAGTGAGCATCAGCGTCACAGTAAGTCTTTGTCGGTGTTGAGTTACTTCAGCCTGTGATGTGTCGGATCTGGGAGTTTGGGAGCTGATTTTCCTTCCACCACATGAATCCCGGGGATGGAAGGCTGGGTACCAGCTGCCTTTGCTTATACAACCTTCTCACTAGGCCTCTCGTATTTTTATAATAATGCTCTTTGGGGGGGCGGGAGGGAAGCAGACAAGAATTTTAACCCTGTTGTCCTGAAGGAAAGCCATTTTATGTATTAATCTTAAGTGTACTATTGGTAAAGGCAGCTTTTATCACCTCCGGCTCTGTGTTCACTGTGCGTGTTGTGACTCCCACGGTATAAATCCCTCCAGCTGAATCTTCGTGAATTCTTATATTTGATTTTTTATTTTTTGCATCGATATCCCGAGTGGTATCAAACAAGTCAAGGACCTCTTCATTATAGAGCTATGAAAAAGACACATTAAAAGGTTAATTCTGTAGAAGTGGTTCTGTGAGCCTCCAACATGCTTCACACAGTATCTTCACACAGTATCTGCCAAGTAGAAAGACTTGGCAGCCCACAAAATGACAGCTATTTCTTCAAAACAAAACACAGCGATGAATTACTATATTATCATAAATCATGAATACCAAGCGGATGTCAGATTTAGCAATAAAAATAACAGGAAATGACTTAATTGTGACAAACAGGGTAGGCACAAGCTATGATGACCTACAACCACTTTGCAAAATAGAAGCAAATTAAAAAATTATTATTTTTTTTTTTACATCATTGTTATACATATATAAGCAAACCTGGGCCACTGTGTACCAGATGCCAGCAAAGCCAAAGGTTACAGCAGAGATACTTTCTATTTGGGGGGAAGATTGGAGGTGAGGGGTGGGCAGGGTTTCACTGGAGGTAGCCCTGGCAGGCCTGGGACTTCACGTAGATCAGGTTGCCCTGACGGGTAACCGGAAGTCTCACTGAGTAGCCCTGGCCAGCTCAGGACTCACCACACAGAGCTCACAGAGATCCTACATCAGCCTTGCAGATGCTGGGTTAAAGAAATGAGCCACCGCACTCAGCCTAAAGGTCAGAGATTTTACAACTTCAGCTTAAAGCTGTATTTCTCTTTCCTAACAATTATCCCTTTATTGTGCTTTCATTCACTAATTGTTTTCTTATTCCTTATGTAAAAAACTGATGGGTTTTATTCTGCAATTTCACGTACATATACAATGTTCTTCAGGTATATAGTCACGATATTCCTCCAGCTCCTTCTCCTCTTTCTCACTTCTATTTCATGCCTTCCTTAATTTTTGTTTAACAAATATAAAAGGAACCCTGGTATTTATCTTTGAGCCTGGCTTATTTCCCATAACAGAATTATAATACTGCGGTCCACCTAACTACAGTATCACTCAAAAGCCTACATTTTCTTCTACTGACAGAACTCCATACCAGATTAGCCACTGTGAGTTTACCCTATAATCTTTGGACACTGCAGGGACACCCTCAGCCTCTGAAGCTATTTCTCAACTTACCCCTCCCTATTGATAAGAAGTTTTAAATTCCTAGCACTTTGTAAACCATCGAAATTCCCACGATAATTAAGGAGAAGGTTTTGAAATAAGCAATATTAATTTTGCTTTTAATTTATATACTGTCAAGCATGTATGGTATAAATGTCAACATTACTGCATCCAAGAGTAAGGTGTACTTATTACCTATTAATTAATGCTATTTTTACTAAATTAACAGTGGGTGAGTACTATATGCAAAGCACTATACTAAAGCCCAGCAATATAAAATTAGAAGGATCTGGTGTTACGGGTGAAATTTAAAGAAAATTAACAGTGAATCTCCTACCTCTAAGAATTGGGCATTCACTTTAAATTCAGGAGGAGGGGCCCCATTTTTAATCGCGGCGGTCTTCTTTTCTTCAATGCTCCTGAAAAGGTGTTTAACAGCACGAGAAATGATACCCTGCTCTTCTTCCATGATGTTGACATCAAATCCTGTTCCCATTGTATAAGTTTTCCCAGCTCCAGTCTAAACAAAAGAACAGGAGAAAAAAATAATAATAAATGACTGTTCATATTAACATGTCCATAAGACGCAAAATGGAAATGCAACTGAATTATAACTCCCATGGAAATAATAAAGTGTTTACTTGTCCATATGCAAAAACTGTAGCATTGTATCCTTCAAAACAGCCTTCAATGAGCTTCTCAATGCACTGAGTGTAGATCTGCTCCTGCTGGGAGTCGATGTCAAACACGTAGTCAAAGGTAAAGGCCTTATCTTTCCCCAGGAAGACCTGAGGCTCTCCTGGCGTGACCGACGTACAGATATGGCAGCCTTCAATCTTTTCTTTGGCAAGCTGTGGTCTTATTCTGTGAAAAAAAAATGACCAGAAATAATGTAAGTGGGCAAAATCAGTCCTCAGAAAAATAGAGACTTAAGTTCGTGGCCAAAAATATTTAAATAAATCGTCCTCCGCTGAATTAAGTTCAGTATTTAAAATGATTTGCCTAACAACACCAACAGGTTACGTAGTCACCCCCAAAATAATGAAAAGGAGTATTAAGTTCTTCTTAAAATTAAATCCTTATTGGGTAAATACTTTTCATTAGTCAGTCAAATATACTCTGCCACTCAGTTGCTCCTTTTCTCTTTACTTCCAATGATCAGCATAAAAACACAATATTACAGAATATTTAACCTTGATGCCCTAGTGCCCTTGACTCACATTTTCCGACTCTTCACCAGAGGTTTCTGAACACATTTGACCATGACTTATGGTGTCTAAATCTGTTTAAGTATATTCCCACAATACACACATAAATATAGGTAAGCATTTGTTAATGATATGAATGCATATACAACTTTACTGTTTGGTCATATAGTATATGAGAGTAACTGGGTGAAAAGAAACAGCTTAAGAAGGAAGGGGGTATGGGAGAGGGCAGCTGGGGGCAGGAACAAATGAGAATAAAAAGTCTAATAACACATGGTATAAAAATAAGATGCCAGCTGGGCTTGGTGGCGCACGCCTGTGATCCCAGCATTCAGGAGGCAGAGGCAGGCAGATCTCTGTGAGTTCGAGGCCAGCCTGGTATAGAAAGCAAGTCTAGGACAGCCAGGGCTACACAGAGAAACCCTGTCTTGAAAAAAAAAGATGAAGATGCCGTGACAAAGCCTGTCTCTCTGTATGCTAACCAAAAAAAAAAAAAAAAAAAATTATTTTAAAAAAGTAATAAATTTGTGAAACAGCCCATGGTAAAAGCATGTTTGACTTTTGTTCCATGTGTTCTGAATAAGCAATCTTTCTCAAAGATTGTTCCTCTTGTTTCTAAACAGCTCCTTTCCTATTTCAGTCAGCCATAAGAAAGAAATCAGGGCTGGAGAGATTGCTCAGAGGTTGAAAGCCCTGCTTGCTCTTCCAGAGGTCCTGAGTTCAATTCCCAGCAACCACATGGTGGCTCACAACCATTATAATGAAATCTGGTGCCCTCTTCTGGCCTGCAGGAACACCTGCAGACAGAACATTGTTTACATAATAAATCTTAAAATAAATAAATAAAATTAAAAATAAATTAAAAAAATAAAAGAAAGAAAGAAAGAAATCACATCACAGCCCGGCTGTCTTTGGAAATACTGGTTGTTGTGAAGACAGAAACAGAACAGCCAGAAGTACTTCAAGGGAATATCAGTTCCATCCTCTTCCTTATTCCACCCATCTAATCTACCTCAGGAGCTACTAGTTATTCCTGAAATAGCTTTTCAGTCCACCACGTTCTCTCTCACCCTTCACACTGCCCTAATTAAGGCCCTCACCATCTCTTACTGAAAATATTACATTGCTCTTCCTCTCAAAGCCTCCACCCATTCTTGCCCCCAGAAGCTGGTTCTGCACAATGCGTATTGATACTTGTAGGACAAGTGACTTGGGGAGTCACCAAACGCCACTCTCTGCTTTGCCATGCTACTCCTTTGCACTGAAAGAGGATTTCCACCGAATGGTGTTTTCATCCTTTCACGAAGAAGCTGGACTCTTTTTGCTTCTGTGACTTCAAATCCATATTCCTTTTCCCTGGACACTCCTCTCCACCCTTTCAATTCCCAACCAAACTGAGCCTCTCATTTCCAATCTCCATTCAGGTACCAACTAATCTGTATACTCAGATGACCTCTTTGCCCTCTTGCCCTCCAACACAAAGTCATACCTATCTCAGTATGCTCTCTCTCCTGGAGTCCACCTCATTAACGCCAGGTCCCTGGTCTCTATAGGCTACTCTGAGAACATAATGAATTCTTTGTGAAAGAACAAAGGTGCAACCATATAATGGAACAGCACCGGGACTCTCCTTTGAAATCAGCTACTTGATTTTAAGTAAATTATTACAACCATAAGCTGATGTACTGGATTCTTTGCTTTCAGATTTGTTCTGACATAACTAAGGAAAATTAGGAGACATTTGAATTGCAGATGTGCCAGCCAATTTTAGAATGCCACTGTCATTCTGTCCTTACATTGACCTCCCAACTGACACTCATCTGATCACTACCCTTTGCTAACAGAAGGGTGGATCTGTTTAAAATACAGATGAAACCCGGTTCCACTCATTTGCAGGGGTGGAGAAGAAAGCATGGTTTTAGTTGCCAAAAGACATGCTCGCTGAACTCTTTTTCTCTCAGACACAGGCAAAGGCAGTTTCTGAGATGGTCTCCCGTGACACAGAGAAGTAGGCACCATCTTCAAAGCTTCCCTATGTAATTCTCTTTTGAAACCTTCTTAAAAAATTAGTCTTTTAAGGTGGCCAAATTCCTAATCACATCTGAGTGAAAAAATTTCACTTTAAGTTCAAGCCCAAGCTAATCCGTTGCTTCTAAAGAGAAGAACTTAAGATGTATGTATGTATTAGTATGTATTTCAAACTACAGTATTGAAACTGCCTGAGATTAGACAAGAAAAAAACAAAACAAAACACAATGCCAATCCTTACAAAAGAAAATAAAAAAGATTCTGAGATTTGCCGCTGCATATTTCCAAACTTTATTTCTTAGTAGCTTTATGTATAGTATCACATCATTAGGCATACTCAGCTCAGCCTAAGACTGAACTCTACATTTTGTAATGCAAACACTTTGGCTAAAATAAAATAAAAAAATACTTGCAGATTTTGAATATCTATAGTCATACAAATAGATATACTTCAAGTGGCTTCTTAATAAATTGTATAAAACAAATGGCATTAACTATTTAGAATAAGATAGTCTAATACTGTATATTCAAATTATATTGGTAAACTATATATAACATAAATAATTATAGATTGCTTATCTATAATTATATCTATACATCTAAACTATTATAAATATATAATTACACACCTAATTATGCCACATATATAATTATAAAGTACTGAAAACTATAATTTGTTGTAAGTAGGTTGACGGTGTGAAGGGGAACACGACACAAGCTTTTGGATTTTCAGGTGAAGAAACATGAACAGGCACAGGGCTCCTCTCCAGTGCTCCTCTCCGTGTGCACCTGTCCTTTAACACGCAGCAGCATCTCTTATTCTTGCATGAAACTGAACGTGTTCTGACAGAATGCAGGTCATCTTATCTCTCCACTCTTGGAGAGCCGTTTCTAGGCCAAATGTGGTGGTGTATGCCTTTAATTACAGCACTTAGATGACAGGGGATGGTGGATCTCTGTGACTTCCAGCCCAGCCTGGTCTCCATAGCATGTTCCTGGATGCCCAGAGATGCATTACAAAAGCCTAACTAAGAAATAAACTAACAAACAAATAGATCAGTAAGAAATGTGATTGGATCTATAACTTCATATTTTTCAAACCTCTACTTCAACTGGCTGTTGTGAAATCCTTGTTTTCTAAATTCCAGTTACATAACTAGTTGCGCAAACTACCTATGAAAGTCGGTCTTTGCCAGAAAAACGTCCACATTCAGCTTAAGCTCTAACAAGTTCTTAATCTGGATTCTTCCTACATTTCTCTGTCTACAGCAAGTCACTCTGAGCTATTGTAAACCTTCTGTCACTACTAGGTCCTTCTCCATATCACACACGAGATTTGATCTCTATCCGGAATGTTGATCCCCTATTTATCTGCAAACTCTAATCGTTCAAAGACTCGCAGACTTCGACAGCTTTTCCCTTTCTGCAAGCTGCATTGTTACCACTCACAGACACCTGTTCAAGATTTTAATATAGTGTATATCAAGCTGAGTTACTGTTTCTCCAGTAATGAATCTCTGAATGATAAGGAATATATCTCATAAATGTGTAACACGGAGTGACTGCACAGATGTTTCCTAGTGGACTCACGCTACACCAGCTAAAAAGAGTCGGTTCAATACTGTGCGCTGTCCCTGCTCTGTTGTAGCTCATTTTTGAACAGTGTCCAGTGACGCTCTCTCTCTAATTTGCTATAAGCTATAAGATGAAGAGCCTAATTTAGTATTTCTAAGGCTCAATACAGGCCCAAGTTATATTTTAATTAAGAAAACAAACGTTTTCTATGTCAACCCCTTAAAGATAGCTATAAACTACATTTTTTTTTCTGCTATACAGTACACCCATCATTAATTGTACCACTACTTCCTTCATTCATTGTAAACTCCAGCACAAGACAGTCCATGTTCTGGTGGCCCCTGGGGAAAATGACTATGACTCTAGTGGTGCCATCAGGAACTCGCAAGACATTCTGAGACCGAATCTAGTAAGTTTGTTAAAATTGTGCCTTGCTTCCTGGTTTTTGCCTTCACAAAAACCAAACTATTTTTTCCAGTTGAATATACCAACCAAGCCAAGAGACCTAGTTTCAAAATAAACTGGTATAAACAGATAAACACACTTTACAAGAAAGACTCATACTTGCTATCTGTTAAGCTAACATTTCAGGAAAGAAGGGCAACAGATTCAAGTCTGCAGTTCAAGCCTGCCATGTGATTATCAGCAAGGAACGGATGGACGTCAGCATCGCTGCCCACAATGCAAGCCCCTGACTGCTCTCGAGGGTCATCTCTCAAATCCTGGAGGGAGGGAGCATCTTCTATCAAAGGTTGCTTTGCTCCTGCTTCCCATGTATGCACTGAATTCCCAAGCCCTCTTGGGAAGTTTCTCGGGACCCTGTGCGCCAGCAGCCATGGAGAGGGAGCATCTGCACTGCAGCTAGTGGATCAGGAGGGAATGAGAAACCGGCTTAAAATGCGTAGATGGCAGTACTGACAGCAGTGTGAGTGAGAAATGACTCAGCCTCCAACCCAAGGGTTGGATCTTCTGCCACTGCTCATGAACTGTATAAAAGCTAACTCGCCACCTTGTGAGCAGATATCAAACATCAAGTTCTCATAGGTCTTTACACAGTGACTTTGGGCACACTCCTCTCTCAGCCTCAATTAACCCACCCATAAAGCACGTATGGGATATCACTGCCAAATCCACATTGTGGCATCTTGAACAAATGAGACTCTGTGTGGCCATGAATGCCTAGGTAGGTATAAAGTGTTGGTGCTGTTACTACTGGGCCACTTGAAAGTTCCCTAAGCCACTTTCCCCTCCAGTAAGCATAATATCTTAAATGCGTTTGAGTCTTTCACAAAAAAAAAGGGTGATTGACTTTTCGTCTCCTTTAACTATTGCTTTATTCATTCATTCATTCATTCATTCATTCATTCATTCATTCATCTGTCTGTCTGTCTATCTATCTATCTATCTATCTATTTTTCTATTTATTTATTTTTAGGTTTTCAAGACAAGGTTT